TTTTTAAAATGATTTCTAAATTAAGATGTTTTTATTCTTATGATCTCATTAATTTAACATTAATGATTTCAACTTATATGAATTTATTTTAATTTAATTTTTCAAGTAGTTTTAGATAATGGATATATTTTAATCTTGAATTTACATTTTTATATATAATTATTAGGTGTACATTTGATTGCGTGTCTAATATTTTTAGAACATTTTTCATGATCGGTCAAATATAACCAAGAACTTAATTTCAATATTTTTGAATTTTATAAAAATATAAAATAATTATAACACCATGCTGACGTCAGTGGATTTTTAAGAACGGTCCGATCTGATTAATTGATTTTGAATCCAATAGTTTAGTCGAGTCACTATCTGGTTCGGGTTTAACAGCATTGTTTACCGCTGGTATAAATCCAAAGTCCAAAACCCAAAATCGAAAAGATTAACAAAGTGCTCTTCTAATCTAAATGAGTTAGAAAAGAGTAAACATGAATTTAAGCTAGCAGTAATTTTTTTTAAGATATGAAAAGAAATTATCCGTTTTAACTAATTTAGGCGAGAAGTTAACTTAAGCACCTTAAGAATAAGTAAAGTTTCACTTCCAACATTATGAAATGATGAAATATATGTGTGTGTGTATCATTTTTTTTTCACTTTTTTGGGCTTAATTGAGACTTAATCACTTCCGAGAGCTGAATTAATACTTTTTATCTACTTTGAAGGGCCAAATTAAAATTCGCCCTTTTGTCAATGTTTTTTTTTTTTGAAACATCAAAACCTCCATTCATGTCAAATCTTGAAGAGCCGCAACAGTAACAGCCTTGGGAATGTTTACAAACCATACTGTACTTCCCTCAAGAGACAATGACATTCTAGACACGATATGAGCAGGAACATTGTTGGTCCTACACACATAACTAACTTTTACAAAATCAAATGCAGCAAGTAGTGATCTTATGCCATGAATTAAGTTACCTATCAATGACAAATCTGTTTCATTGCTATTAATACTCTCTACAATATTTAAAGCATCCCCTTCTAGCAAGAAATGTGTGATTCCAAAGTCTCTTGCAAATTCCAAAGCACTGAGAAATGCCAGGCAATGTTAGCCCTTTTGTCAATGTTAGTTCATATGTACGTTTGGCATTCCTCTGTTTTCGGCTGCCTTAGATCATTGCAGCCGTAGCATGTTTATTTGTTCTTATTTGGTCAAGCCCCTTGGCCTACGAATTGTGTTGATTTGGTTAACTCCGTGATGATTTATGTCATTACAAAGATCACGTACCATTGGGGATAATGTTTGTGGGAGATTGGATGGGAGTTTGAGGAGAGAAATTGCTGATTTGTTATGAAATCGAGGACAAAAACGTTGATGTTCAAGAGTTAAACTTGTTTACTTGTCTTATATAATCATTATTTATTTGTTTAGTAAATATATATTTTAACTCATTTCAGAGTATATTGATGTCCACTAATTAAATACTTTTACGAGTCTTTGATAAATTATTAAATAAAGATTTATAGATTAATCTTTCCTATACTGACAGTGTATATTAACAAATTAAACGGTGATAGTGTATGCGTTGTCAGTGTATATGAAATTTATTCAATATTTATTAGAATTTTCAAAATTTTCCTTATTGTTAACTATAGGATGTTAATTTGATATCTTGACACTAATTAGGTATTTCAAATCATATTAATTATAGGGTAAGCATATTTTTGTACGTAGGTTGTAGATGTATTTAGAATTACAAGAGGAGTTCATAAATAAATTTTAAAACATTTAAAGACCACGACACAATACTTATAAAGTTTTAGTTTTTATAGTCGATTTTTTTTTGTTTTTTGCTTTTGTTTTAATTTTATTATTCTTTTTCATGTATTTTGCTTGAGTTGTAGGGGTCCGAATATTCAACTAATTTAGAAATGGTACCGTGTCAAACAAAATTACTTTAATATTATATTTTATTTTATTTTTATATAGTTGATATATCTTTTAGGGATAATTTCAGAAACCTCCCTTGAGATTTCATGAAATATCACCTAGCTCCCCTAAACTTTTCAAAATCTCACTTAGCACCCTTGAAGTGATAGTAGGGCCATATGCTAATATCAAAGGTGATGAATTTTCAATAATACCCTCATATTTAAATTTTCTAGACTTGTTTTTCTTTTTCTAAATGTCAATGAAATATAGGATTTAATCAATGAAATATTCAGCGCATTTGCAAAAAAATAGCTGTAGGCTCTTTTTTTCTCCTTTTTTTTTTGTGTTTCACAACTTTATTTATTTGTTTAGTTATTTGTTCCTATTCATGTAGAGCGCAAGAGAAATAAAATAACTAAAATTCCGAATTGCAGTTTTTCAAATTTTGAGTTTTTTATAATAAAATTTTCATATTTCATACCCATAAAAAAGTCAGTCTATTTTGAGTAAATTCTCTATATGATATTGAAGTTGAATTTCATCTATTGCTGAGTTTTTTTGGCTCAAATGTATGATTTTTACGTGCTAATTGCCTTCAATGCTATGGAGGGTTTTATTTATAGAAATGGTTTTAAAAATATTTGCTTTTATTGTCTCTTTCTACTATAGAAATGACTATTGGCTGTAATATAAAATCTTATCAATTTTCATCTCCTCACTTTTAAGATGGTTTCAATTTAGTACTTTTTTTCCTTGATTTGTAAAATGTTCATTTTTTCTATAGGTTAAGGGTATTAAAGGAACTAAAATAATCTCTCTCCTCAAACATGAATTTTTTAATATTACTTTTGGTTAGAAGAGTGACAATTTACCAAAATGTCAATTCGAGGGGTGCTAAGTGAGATTTTGAAAATCTCAAGGTATTTAGGTGATATTTCATGAAACCTCAGGGGAGGTTTCTGAAATTATCCCTATCTTTTATCATAATGGCATAACTAAGGCCCTGTTTGGAAGTGTTGTTTTTTAGCAAGTTTGTATAATTCTAGTTTTTTAACAACTTCTACTACAGGAACCCCAAAAAATTTATCAAAGTTTTTAACTTACACACTTTAAAATAATACACAAAAAACTTTTCTTTCAACTTTTCTTCTTTTTCCTTCCCCACCTAACCCACCACGTCCTCCGTCGCCGGCCACCACCTCCACCACCGCTTCCGGCGACGATCACTATTCTGGCCGCCACTTCCTTTTTTTTTTTTTCCTGTCCCTGTCCCTGTCCCTCACCCCTCCCCCTTTGACCCACCACTACTCGAACTATACTGCCTCTTCCGTTGCCAGGGGAGCGAAAAATTCGGCTCTGTGTGAACACAAAACACTTTCACCACAGCATCCATCGCCAGGACCACTCTCGCCGCCACAACAACACTCTCCCCCGCCGCCACCATGGAGCAAGAAATGAGGGAAGCGTTGGGGCCGTTGTTAGCTTTGTATAGGAGAAGGCGAGTAGGGGAGGCGGCTGTTATGGATTTGGAGGGTTCGGACGAGGGCAATTTTGTCCTCTTGGGTGGGTGACCATGGCGGCAACGCTCGTGATTGGACGACTGAGAATGGTTGTGGTGGTGGTGGTGGTGGTGGTGCAAGTCGATGAGCTCGACGTTGCTGACAGAGAAAACGACGTCTTCGGAGTTAGCGATTGGGCTTGAGCTCGAGCCCGGGACTGAGCCCGGAATCGTTGGGCTTCGGACATCCATGTTTAGCAGAGTTCCCTCTATTAAGCTCCACCGGACTGAGGGAAGAAGAGTCGCCAGATACGACATCCATGGCTGTAGCCTGCAAGGTCTCGGGCATCGAAGGGCAGAAGTGGAGAGAAAAAGAGGGGCAGAGAGGGAGAGAGGGCAGAGGTGCCGGGGGAAGGGGCAGGGAGAGGAGCCAGGGAAGAGAAAAAGAGGGGTAGAGGGGTAGAGAGGTAGAGGGAGGAAGGGGCAGAGGTGCCGGGGAAGGGGGAAGGGAGAAGAAGAAGAGAGAAAAGAAAAGAAAAAAGTTTTTCAATCTAAAAATTTTTCAAGCTAAAAAAGGTTTTCAACCTAAAAATTTTTCTTACAACTTATACAGTAATCTACAGTAAAGTTTTAGACAAACACTCAAAAAACTCACATTCCAAACAGACCCTAAGATTCCTTTATCAATAAAGTATCATACACTCATCTTGTGATTAGTGTATCAGAAGTAGACATGGTTTTCTCCCTGAATTGATAGAGTTGTTAAATAGAGAGACTTGAAGGAAGACGAGGTTGACTACGGGCTTGTTTTGATTTTCTCTAGAATTTATCATCTTTATTTATTTTTTTTGAGCTGCTAAACCTTGTGTTTTTGATGATGATACTTTTGTCCATTTATGAAAAGTTTAAAAACTGTCTACCATCTATTAAGTTAAATGGGATAACCATTTTGGCTCGCGAGCAGCTTGGTCAACGCTCGTCTCGAGCTCAGTCAATATCGTTGTTTATAACACGAGTCGAGTTCGAGCCATTTGTATGAAGGCTCATGAGCTCGCGAGGCGTGTGAAATTATATAAATACCCCTACTTATTTAACTAATTACTAAACTAGATACAATTTCTCCAAGGGCTGAAGGACCAAGACTAAGAATGTACGCGAGTCAAGCCAATATCGAGTAACTCGCGAGTAGCTCGGTCAATGACTTGACTTGAACTCGATCAAATCGAGTTCGAGCCGAGTCTCGAGCTACTCGAGTATAACGAATTTAGTTCGACTCAGCAATTTGAGGCTTGAGACTCGACGAGTAGCTCGTCGAGTTGGATATATTTAATTAATATATATAATTTAAATAATATATATGTATTATAATTATAAAATGATCGTTATGGGTATAATTTATACTGAATTTACAAGATACTCTTCTTTATAATAAAATTCCATAAGGGCAGAAAAGTAATAACATAATTGTAAAAGACCTTAAAGGAAAAAATGTTGGGAAAAAGCAAAGAAAAGGTTCAGACTTTAGTTTCTCTTCCTCCCTTCTTCTCTGTTCGAACGAGTGACTTCTAAACCATGTCTCCGTTACTCTCAATCTCTCCCTCGTCGCCGACGCCGTTGCTCGCCACATCTGTCAGCCTCCGTCGCCATCGCTTTTCTGGTTACTGGTATGTCTGCCTCTGCTCTAATGTGCATTTCCAGTTCTATTTCCATTTCCCCCTTCATTCATCTTCGCTTCCCTCTCTCTCTCTCTCTCTCTCTCTCTCTATGGCACTATGGGTGTGGGGACTGGGGACAGGGAATGGGAAGTAGTAGTATGATTGATTACTGGGTCTGGGAGTAAACCCATAAGCATATTAAATTTGTTTTCCTGTCTGCCTCCATCGCCATCTGGATCTGATGAAACACTTCTGCTTTAATTTGTTTTCCTTTTTTGTCTTTTTTTGTCTTTTTTTATTAGGCATGCGTAAGTGTAACAATGAATACGAAAGCTGTGTGGAATTTTTTTGTCTCTTTTTTGTCTTCCGCATTTGAATGGTATGCTGTGTGGAATTTTTCGTAAAAATGCCACGCAATTGGCTGAAGTAGTACACGGTTCTACTAAATTGGACTTCAACTGAATTGGTAACCTTTGTCAAAAGTGGTTCAATCAGAAGGAAATTACTCACAACCCTTTTTTTTTTAAAAAAAAAAGAATTTGAAAACACATTCCATCATCTTCACATGGCTCTAGATTCTAATTATTGCTCTCTTTGTGCTAAAGAATAAATTCTAACTTCTAAGAGCAGATTTCTAAAACCCCAAAATAAAAATTGTAAATCATAGATATAAGGCGTAGCCTGTCAATCCTGGACGTTAAAAAGAAAGAAGGAAGAACAATTTGAGTATTCCGTGGTAGTCTGGATTTAATGACTTGATATGGAGAGTTAAACAAGCACCACTAGAATTGTTGTGTGTAATTTGTTAGAAATGCCATTAAAACAAAACACACTCTGTATAATTCCACTAAAGTCTACAAACTTCATCCCGCTTTGTATAATTCCTCTAAAGTCCCTAGATCACTTACATTAAGAGACTAAAGCTCAAAAAGCTTGATTAGGCTCGACTTGACTAAAGGTCAAGCCTTATCGAGTTGAGTCTCGAGCTTAAAAGAATTTCCTCGAGTCAAGCCTCGAGTTGCGATTTTTAGGCTTGGTCGAGCTCGAGTCTAGGTACATATAGGTCGAGTCGAGCTCGAGTATAGCACTACTCGAGCTCGACTTGGCTCGAATACATCCCTGCACGTAGCAAATTAATTAGGTCTTTCTTCTCCACCCTCGCATATCATGAGGTGCCTGTATTGGATAATCATTTTTTTTAATACTTGTGATAAAATTCTGTTTATGGCACAACATGTAATCAAGTGTAAAACTAATTACATTTATAGCACAAAAAGAGAAAATATAATCAAGTGTTAAAATAAGGGAAATTTGCCAAATTGGTCCCTAACATTTACCAAAAACACTTTTTTAGTCCCTAACATATAAAATCAGCCAAAATTGTCCTTCACATTTAAATTGTGATCCAATTTGGTCCTAATGCTCGTTTTTGCTCCTTTCTCCGGCTAAAAATAGCACGCCCCTCTCACGTGGTCATATTTTCAAGGGCAAAATTGGAAAACAAAAGCTTTCTTCTTTCTTCTTTTGCCCTGTTTCTTCTTCTCCATCGCAACCGAAAGCCCTCATCACCGCCGCCGCCGCATCCTCCGCCCCTCCAACCTCGCTTGTCCGCCGCCTCTCTCTACTGTCGCGCGATCTTTGCTCCGCTGCCCTGCGCACTGCCCTCGTCTCTCTCTCTAGTCGACCGCATCCTTCCACCAGCTCACCCGCGACCCCAGCGCAATCCGCCCGCTGCTCAGCGCGTCACCACTGCGCGGCTTTCTTTCATCCTCCGCCTGCCCCGACGCCGCAGCCAGCATCCACGAGAAGCAGCCGCCGCCGTTGCTCGACGCCACTGGCGCGCGTCGCGTACCTCACCTCACCTTACTTTACTCCCTCTTCTCTCTCCTCGCGCCTCCACCAGCGACACGCGGCACCTCTTCTGATCACCTCCAAATTTGCTTCTGTTCAGGTGAACTCAGTCACCGTTGTGGTGAACTTGTCCTTAGAGAGTCGAAGCAAGATAAAGATCGTGAGATCAGGGATCGTCCCCAGTGGATCTGGGATTTGTGTTTTCCAATTTTGCCCTTGAAAATATGACCACGTGAGATGGGCGTGCTATTTTTAGCCGGAGAAAGGAGCAAAAATGAGCATTAGGACCAAATTGGATCACAATTTAAATGTGAAGGACAATTTTGGCTGATTTTATATGTTAGGGACTAAAAAAGTGTTTTTGGTAAATGTTAGGGACCAATTTGGCAAATTTCCCTTAAAATAATTACATTTGCCTCTCTTGTAGACTCCAAGACAGCGGACTCTCACAACTCACAAACACACCTCTTTCTTCTTCCCACTCGGCTGTTCCGCTGTTGGCATTCTTCTTTCCCCAAATCAAAAGCAAACCCTAGTCGCCGCTACCACTGTCTGCACCACTCACCAGTCAGCCACTTCTGCCACCACCACTGCTGCCCTTCAATTGAAGAGCCCTTTCTCTCCGAGTCCCAGTTTGTTGGCCAACGTTAGAAGCAGCTACGGTAGACATTTCATCAGCTCCATTGGTGGAGGGCCTCGCAAACAGGTTATCCATCACTCTTCTTCCCCTATTTTCTGTTTTTGTTGCTGTAAAATAATGCTTGGTGGTAGAATAAGTGATTGTTTCCTGTCATTAAAGCCAGATCAACTTCTTCACCTCTTTCCCATTGTAGAATGTTTGTCTATTGCGAGCCTGGTAACGTCCCAATACAAAAGGGTTGCCCCATTTATGAATTAATTGGCAATTGAAAGGCTTTGGAATTCATGGGAAAAATCAAGAATGTGTGGTGTCAGTGTAGTGTTGGTTTTCTGGGATGGGTCGGGCCATGTGATTCCAATGGCTATTTAACAATTCCAAATGACGTTGCTTGTTTGAGGTGACCCGTCCGATTAAAGGCATTAAAAAGTTTTGTTTTCTTCCCCACCTTTTCCATCCATTAATGACTATCTCTTTGGTTTTGGTTTAACACATTCATTATTTTTCCCTATTTTTCTTGTGGCCAAAGGTGCAGTATTTGCTGCCTTTTGTTTGCCTTCTCAGCTCTCATCCTCTCTGTTACTGTATTCCCTTGGATTCTTGTAAGCTCTTTTTTCTGTAAATATATCAACATAAGTGGAATATAGACGTTTAACAGAATCCAAATTTGTGGGTTTTGAAGTTGAAAGCTGTTTAAGTTGGCCCTTAAAATTTTGGTTCTAGGAGGTGTTTTAAGACCAACTTATTCTCCTTCGCAATGGAGCCAAACTTACTTATGGTGAAGTCAGCATATTGGCTCGTGTTCTGTGTAGCCTAGGGATGGTCGGTCCAGTGGTATTTTTGCTTTAGGACGTCTGTACTGGAGTAGGGAGTGGCTCTAAAAGTTCAGTTCCAGGATGATATCTAAAATTGCTGTTGCCGTCTCTTTTTTTGTTTGCCAACTTTGTTACATAAAATTAGGCCCCTATATGAATTAAGATTGTACTAAATGATGGGTTTTGAATTAAAATTTCCTTCCCATTTCTTTTTTTTTTGAATTTGGATCTGTTATTATTATTAGGGACAGTTTTTTGAAGATTGGTAAGAATGTTGGGTTTCTTTTTTTAACTTCTTACATACATTTAATCCGTCTAATTGTAGTACTCAAGAAGAACTTGAAATATTTGCATGGCCTTTTCGGCTGTTGGTGATAGGAGAAAGTATAAATGTTAAAGATAGGACAGATTTGTGCACTAATGGAATGAGTTTGAACTAATGGAATGAGTTTGATGATATTCAGTCAAGGGTAAGAGTAAATACGCAAAGGGCTTGATGGAACTTCTTCTCTGTTGCATTTCAATCTCCAAGCTTGCAAACACAATAGTAAAGACTAGCTTGTAAATGTGTAATAAAAACAGCTATTCAGGGGGCCATAACTCATATTTGGAGTTCATATGCGAACTCTTTAAGAAGTTTCAAAGAATAGCACGGTGCTGTAATATCCTCTAGAATCAATACCAAAAGCTAATCGTGTGTGTCCAATTGTCCTTAACAGCGTAGCTTTACTATTATTTAATAATATTGTTGCTATTCATTTTTTTTTCTTTCATTTCTGTTATGTTATTCAACCTGCAATTTTGTTACTTGCTGGGCTGGTATTGAAAAAAAATTGATCTCATTTGTTGTTTGGGATTTAGGCACAAGCACAATATGGCACAAGCACAAGCACAAGCTGGTTATGTTTAGTGATACAAATTTTCGAGCTGAATTCGAGTCATTTCGAGTTCTTGTCGAGTTGAGTAGATCAAGCCTTATCGAGTCGAACTCGAGCCGGCTTCTTACTTAGTCGAGTCGAGCTCGAGCTCAATTTTCTCGAGCTCGACGTTTACAGTAGTCAAGCCTGACTCAATAAGTTCAATGTTCGACTCAGCTCGGCTCGTTTACACCCCAAGCTACGTGTATTGTTTATTTGACTCAATTTATCCACTAGTATAAATTAAAGGCATATAATTTTATCTTTGGCTAAATTTTAGGAACCGTCCTTGAAATTTCTAATAGCATTATTTAGTACTTCCAAAATTTGAAAAATCTTATTTACCTCCCTTATTTTAGACTTTTTGTAATATTTGAAATCTTTTTCAAAATATAATATTTAAAAACTCATTTTACGAGAGAGAATATAATTTCATTTCAAATTTACCTTTTTGTTATCTTACTCTTTAGTACAAAATTTTTTTGTTAGCCCTTTATTTTATTAATATATGAATTTAAACGAAGGAGGGGAACCTAGCCAAAACCTCCAATGCGTGGCGATTTAAAAAAATAAAAGAGGAGTACTACTGCTTAACATATATAATAATTTAAAAACTTGAGTATATTAATAATAATTAAAAAATGAAATCCAAAGATATAACACGCTTTTTGAAATACAAATAGTTAATATTTCAAAGTTTATTTAAAATTGTTGTAAGTTACAATTTATTAGCAAAGTGTATTGAGTTAATTTAAGGAGTTTAATAAATCGTCAACTTTTTTGTGAATTTTATAGTTTTTTCCTCCCAACTTGATGGCTTGAAAACTTGAACAATGAAAAGTGCTGAAAGTTATATATAAACATGTTTGTGAAGTTGTCAAGTTGATACAAAAGGTATTCTCATTATTATAAAATATTTAAATTTTTCCTAAATGTATTATAAATTATGTATAATTTTAAATATCTTAATATTTCTTGTCCAAACAAATGACATAAATAATTGTTAAAAGGTCTTTGACCACATTATCAACTTTTAAATTTCAATTAAAGAATCACATAAGTCAAGTTCACAGCAATTAATGAATAAAATTAATGTGCTATAACAATTAAAAATTCATAAGAAAAAGATAAATTTAGGATGAGACTATATCCGTTCTTCAAAAAATGTATTTTTGTAATACGATTATTGGAGTGAGTTGTAAAAGATAGAAAAATATGGGGAGGCAAGTGAGATTTTCCAAAGTTCGAGAATGCGGTGGTCATAAACCTCAGTAGCCATCTCCTGCATCGAGTCTGCCTGTCATTCTTCTTCAGCCTTCTATTTTTCCTTCTCCTTCTCTCTCTCCTGAATCTCTGCCACCCATTTGCTGTTTAGTGAATAATCTTCAAAGAGAGAATTAATTTTGGGTTGAAGATTGATTTGACATATTTGTTATTTCTGTCATTCTGTACAATTTCTATAAATTGGATACGGGTAGGTTTTCATTTTTATTTTTATTTGTTTAAACCCTAAAAGTCTCTGAAAATCATTGCGAATGCCACCGTTCATGGATATCTGATGAGTCAATACGGATTGTTATTGACTCTGCAGAATCCGTCGCTCTTTTGAGTCCCGGAGTTTCCACGGTACCGTCTCCGGGATATGGCGGACCGGTCGGGACACGGAGGCTGAAGTTCTGGTGATGACTCAGCCGGTCTTTGAACCATGATTATTCTATTATGTGGTTCTTTATTAAAAATTTGCCCTTTATTAATGGGTTGTTGTTAATATTAGTTGCAGTTGGAAAAACAGTTGGATGATGGCAAAGAAAAAGCAAGTTTCAGGAGGTGTATCATCCACCAGCCACACGGATGATGGGGGTTCGAAGATGGACTTTAAGTCCATAATGAAAGATATCGAATTTTTGGGTAAGTTGATCTCTCATACTCCTTAAGCTAAGATACTTTTTTCCAAATCGAATATGTAGGACTTGTGGTTAACGAAGCATCTTTGATTATCTAATTGGAGAAAAATTGCTATTTTTAGAAGTTAAAAGAAGTTCAAGAATTAGTTCATTTCAGGTTAGATTTGAAATCAGTATGCTTGTTTGCTTTTAGGTAATAAAGCTACGTATTTCACCTGGATTTCTTGCTTTTCTTTCCTCTTTAAATTAATGGATTTTAGTGTTCGCCATAACTTGGCCTTAGTTCCTTCTTTATCTTCTCTTATCATGTTTCTGTTGTTAATCATTTTTGAAGTGGAAGACAGTATGTATATTGCATTCTGGTTGTCGAACTAAATCTATACTCAAAACTGATGTTTGCTGGTGTTTTTCATTCTTTTGGCTCCTACTTTTAGATAGTGTGGATACTTCTCTTTTTTTGATGCTTCTGGTTGGTTTTTAGATCTATTACTCAATTACGGTTAACATGATCCCCAATTCAAGCTTTCTCATTCAGATAATCTTGGAAGACTTGCTTCATTGTAACTTTTTGGCCAGCTTTAACTTGTTTTGGGAACTTGAGTTGTTAAGGATAGTAGATGTATCCAAGGAGAACACTGGTAAATCTTTATGACAATTCACAAGAAAATGTGAAAATAATAGTTTCAATAATATACTTAAAGATTGATTAGTTCTTATGTTCAATGGAGAGTTATTGTAATTAGCTATTGAGGATTTAGCAGACTGTGGATACATGAGTTTGTCCAGAAATTCACTCTTTTTAGTCAAGTATGCTGTACATGGAAGCTCTAGATATTCTGCATTCAGGTGAGAATTAGGTATCCAACAATGAAAACTGGAGGAACTATATTCTTGCAATTCGTACTTGAGAGGTTTCTCAAGTCGTTTAGATTGTAATTCTCCAATTTGACTTTGGGAGCTCTTGGTCATTGGTTGACCTCCTTTGCTCTTTAGCTGACAGATGTAATGATTTTAGTATTTAGTTTTGTCATCTAACAAACCCACTTGACGAAGACTCGTGGTAAATTTGTCCCTCCTCTGCATATTGCACAACCAGCTCTTGGCTTTCTACTTGCTGTTGCTTTTCTCATAATTATCTCCTCCATGTCTGTAAGAAAGTGGGAGTGCTCTAATAGATTGTCCTTGGAAATAGCACCTTAATAGCTGCATAAGGTTGTGAACAGATTCAGTTCTTTTTGTTTTCTGTTGCAGATTTTGCATGCATTTCTTCAAAGCTTAAATGCTTTATTTTCATGCTCGAATTGATTATTTCTTTTTCCCTTAATTTGTCTGTCTTTTGCGAGCTTGTCTCTGATTTATCCTTTTCTTAATGCAAAAGATTCTTGTACTTGCGTCTCACTTGTTTATCAAAAGTGACCCTTGTTCCTGAATTTGCATATCAAAGATCCAGCTTTCAGCTGTCTGTCTTTCTGTGATCAAGATCATTAGTAGTATTTGATCACTTTCAAACTGTGTGACACAATTTCGAGAGGATTTATCATAAATACACGACTCACCAGATCTGAGATGATGAACTTTGGAGCCCAGTTTTATGAAGTATAAAATGAATAAAGTAGTCATTTTTAGCTATTCACTTGATTAATCAGAAAGGTACTCAATAGCCATATTTTCAGTACTGGTAGATGCATACTGCTGTTGATTGCCGCATATGAAGGGAAAAGGGTTTTCCTACCCAAAAAAGGGGAAAGGCTTAGATGAATGCTGCTTGCGTCTAAATTAGAAGACTATTTTCTTCTTTCATGGTGGGGGTAGTTGTATTACTTGAGGAAAAGCTACTTCTTATGAAGTTTAAGTCATGAAGGGGCAACTTTACTTGTACTTGAGTTTCATCTCTTAGGTAATATATGAAGCTTGAGGGTGGAATACCATAAGATTGAGTGGTTAATTTTAATTCAATTGGGCTGACATTAGAATCAATGAAGCAGAAAGCTCTAGTAGTTTAGTTTTGTATCTCCACCAGGAATAGTAAGTTTAGGATGCTACTGCAGACCATGAGATACATTGGCGAAAAAACTTATGTGAGCATGAAAGTGTTGCTATCTTAATATATATTGGCCACTCAACTTGTACGAGTCTCCAAATAACTGTAACTCAAAAATGTTTATATTTTCACCGTTTTATTACATTCAAATGTTATTAGTTTTGGAAGTAAATCACATGCTGTTTCACTTAGACTTGATGAATGAATTTGGTGGTTTGGTTTGAAATTTAATTCCTTGCTCTACATTGGGTTTCTTTGGGATTCTGAAGAATTTGGTTGTGAAAAATTAAGAAAGGAAACCTGCTCTCTATTGAATTTTACGAGTGCATCCCTTTTTTTTTCCCCTTTTTTGTTTTAATTGATTTTCATGAATGTTTCTGTTGTTCAATTGTCCATTATAGGCTCTACACACATGACCTGGAAAGAGAAGAAAGAGCTGGAGAACAAGAAGGTTGTCTCTTTGGGCGGAAAGGTAATTCAATTGCACTCTCAATAATTTTTCAATCAGTAAAATTGTGCATGGCATCAAATAACTGTATCTTTCCTTTGACTTAAGCCTCCCAAGAGGCAGAGGTTACCCCTTAGTGTTGCGAGAGTGTCAATGAAGAGACAGAAGGAAAGGGAGGAAAAAATGCTTCAAGAGGTTGGTTATGTCTATTCATTTTATTTAGTTGCTTGAAAACGTGCTTTCTGTACCATTTTTCACTAACACTAAAGACTCTCAGAATTTGATACTCGGACGATTTTCAAGCAATCGTGGTAGGGATGCTAAAAAGACAGAGAGGCGCAGTTCCGAGGACAGAGTGCTGAAGTCAACTGAAGGTCATTTTAGAAACGGTGTGCTTGACGTGAAACATTTATTACGACCTTCCGCGCCTAGAGTCAATGACAGCAGGCCTGTTGCTGATAAGAAAAAGAAGAAGAAAAAGGGAGGTAAGAAGACTCGTGGGAAGAGAAATGGTGGTAGGAAGCACCGGTAGGACATCTAAAATTGCTTGTATAATTAACGTGTTGCAGTGCTCTAACTGGCCGTGGATTTTGGTACTTAAAATCAGTTTGAATGCAGATGCTCTGATATATTCCGACTTATTAGTGAAATTGGTTTCCTGTGCTTACCTAACTGTGCTACTACTTTGTTCGTGTGTCGGGCTGCTTGCTTCTGCAAAATCATGGTGCATTCATCTGACCAATCTCATAAAGTTTGTTATTCTCTGTAGAGATCCATGTATTCAGTTTGTTCAAGGCATGGGGTCAATGGCGAAACGATAATGATTTTTCTGTAGGCAAAAAGAAACTATGCCTGACATCAAATTGTAACAACCAACTGCTCCTACAGGAGTTGGTCTCACTAAGAGAACTTTTAAACTCCATTTAGGTGTAGATCAATAGATCAAATTTCTTGATTTGCATTTTAATATTCAGACTTTCCTTAAAAAAAAAAGAGAGATCATATTGTCAGTTTAACATTTCCACTCAGACTCGAACTCGAGTTTTTTTGGTTGTCAGACCCCTTAATTCTTTATGCTATTTTTTGCAATTTCATCAATCTTCTTATGTTCGTCGTATATAACTAGTAAAACCATTAACCTATGAAAGCTCAGATAGTACTTTATTTGTCAAAATTTATTTATTTGCATTATTAACATATTTTTAATCACCTTTTTATTTCTAATATATTACATTAAAAAGTGTTACATACTAGTATTATTTTTCTTCAGAAAATTATCCCAAATAATCTACTATCCAAACACAGTGCACAAAAATTATTTACTCGCATCACAAATACATTTTTCAACATATCTTTTTATTTTTTCAAGAACCTTTTCATCTCATATATATCACATCATAAAAAGTGCTATAACATTTTTTTTTCAAAAAATTATCCCGAATAATCTACTATTCAAACACGATTCCATCCTCGAAAAAGTTTGACAATGTTAGGCAAGCCATCCTCAGGAAATAGTTTGATAGTACTCCATTCCAGATTAGTCAAGAACCAATGTGGTCACCGAACACTAGAAGGTTTGCACAAAAAAGGAAGAGAAAAATATAAAACATATGTAGATATTCTCTAGTGCTTGAAATTAATTTGCAAAATTTGTTGTGTAACATTTTATGTTGAACTAAAAGGAAAAGCCTTATCCTACATAAATTTGAAGTAATCTATCAGACAAAGTAATCAAGAGGTCAACTTAAACGCACACTAGTTTCTCCTCTGTAAGCTTTTGTTTTTTAATTAATACAACCAAGTTGAATTAGTTCCCCAAAATCCAAACAAAATATACAATACAATACTATAGTAGGAAGCATCCGCTTTTCTCCTATGTGTTTGGATAGAGTATTATTTGAGTTATTAATTAGAATAATTACTGTAGTATTTTTTTGTGACGTAATTATGTGAGATAAAAAAAGTAACTAGAAATATAGAAAAGTGGGTTGAAAATGTGTTTATAATATAAATAAAATATTATTTGAAAAAATGGAAAGCCATTTTTCACGAAAAATTTTCTATATTTTTCGTGAAAACATTTCTCAATCACCCTTTTAATTCACATATATCAATTTGTTACAGTACATTTTTTACAAAAATTTTTAAAAATTACAATCCAAACACTCCGATGCCATCCATTTTAGTTTCCAAGGAAGTGGCCACATCAAATTTATTCATGGAGCTGTTCCCTCAATTTCTGGGCCACCGTGCCATGCAGGTCTTTTTTAAAAAAAAAAAAAATTTTCCTGCTTGTCGTGCTTACTTGGCACGATGAATATTCGGCAAAAAATTTCGCCTTAGAATATGGATATTCAACAAAAAATTGGATTGAATATTACTATTCGAATTGTGAATATCAATATATGCTCATCATGCCTTAAAGAATCTCCTTGGTTATACAGGATATGCTATCTGTTACCTTTTAAATTTTAATGAACATTTTGAAAGTGAGATTGATAATTAATTTTATGAAAGATAACAAATAATCTCTTAGCAAATTTGGTTGGATTACAGTTTTGTGTAGAAAAATTTTTACGTCTTTTGTTTTCACATTTTTCAAATGTCATTTTATCTCATGTAAATCAAATTATTATAGCATATATGTTAGTTCAACTTAGATCCTAAATTCAAATTTTTTTTAAAAAAAATCCCACCTTCTCTGGAACATAAGCTCTTGTTGAATCCTCAACCGTCCATTTGAGAACGCAATAGATCCAACGGTCAAGAAGCGCGACAAGTCATTCATCCGCATCAGTTAAGTGCAGTATATTAACAATTCAATTGGCGGTTTTTTTCACGAAAATGTGAAAAAGCCACCAAAAAAAAATGGCGGCCCCAAAATTTCATTTCAATTCCAATTTTCGTCTTTGCTCTTTCCCTCCTCTCTTTTTTCCCCCGTCTTATTATACCCAACCGCGATTTCCCCCAAAACCCACAAAAAAAACAAAGAACCCATCTCCATTTTCCTGTTTGCATCTCCAATTCCATCAGAAACTCTCTAATTGCGGTCCAAATGGCAGGTGGAAGACTAAGGAAAAGGGTGGAGGTGGAGAAGAATTCTTCTTCTTCTTCTACGTCTCCTGCTGCTGGTGGCAAGAGCAACACTACAGCATCTTCTTCTACCCTCCTCCGGGCTAAAGATGGCAGCGCTTTTACGAAATGGTATGAGATTTTTTTGAACTAATATGATGTCTACTAATCTTTTTGTGTTTTCTTTGTGGGTTCTTTATATATGGAAAAATGGTGCACTTAAGTTGGATTTTTTTTCTTTTTTCTTTTTGGCAGTGGGGAATGCAACAAGGATGTTGCCGTAGCGCTGATTAGCATGCATGACTGTAGCACTGAAGCTAAAATCAAGATGAATCTAGGTATTTCTTGCTTTTGATTAGATATAATGCTGTAATGAGGATGGAGAATGGATTATTTTCTGGTTAATATGAGGCTGGTGCTTGTACTTTTTTTCGGTTGAATTGGGCCATGCATGCATCAATTTGTATATGGTGTTAAGGGGTTCTTACTGTTAATTTCGTGTTAAGACGAGGCAGTTTTTTTTTTTCCCCTTAAACAGCGAGGCAGGGTGCTTTTGGGTGTTTAATATGTTAATTTATGTTGAAATGGTTGTGCCAATTTGCATGTGACTGCTATTTCCCGCTTTTAATTGGTTGCTATGTTACTATGATAAGGATGTAAAATGGGGTTTGATTTGATCTATGTTAAGATGAACCTAGGTTCCTTTTGAGTGTAATTGGTTAATCAGTCGGACCCTTTTTTATACTTTTTTTGGGTTCTGAAGTCTATTAACCTGTTATTCTTCACCGTTAATTGATTTTAGTTTTTAGTTTAGCTGCTGGAGGTTTATTGTTTAGTTAACTTGCTATCTGAGGGGCACTTCTGATGAGTTAATTTGATGCTAAACAGAGGCTCAGGTTGTGGAGAAGGCTGCTGAATTGAAGAAAAAACCAGCTGAAAAGTAATTTTTATAGAATTCCTTTTGTTTTTACTTGCTACCTATCATTTACTGATTGTTGCTTTGATTCATTTTGGTTTGCTTTTGATTTTACAATGGTGACGATGATGTACAGAAGGAAGGCCAAAGCTGCTGAACCAAAGGCAAAGAAGGGAAAGAAAGCCAAGAATCCAAATGCACTAAAACGCCCTCCTACTGCTTTCTTCATTTTCATGTAATCCTTTGCTTATGTGTACTATGCATTAGGAGTATTTGTAGAGTAGGTGGCTGATTATGTTTGACTTGAATTACACAGGGATGACTTCAGGAAATCTTTCAAGGAGGCAAATCCTGATTGCAAGAGTGTCTCAGTGGTATAGTCATTCTTATTTGTTTATTTTCATTGTTTGAAAATTGAACCATGTTTGATTTACTTGGTTATGTTTGACATGGATTTTTAACTATCCAATGATTTAGGTGGCCAAAGAGGGTGGGGAGAAATGGAAGTCAATGACTGAAGAAGTGAGTGTCAATTCTGTATGCTGGAGCTTATTGCATTCCATAAGAAACTGTTTGATCAGTTACTGATGGTAATGATATTTCAAATGCATTGATCAGGAGAAACAACCTTATTTGGACAGAGCTGCGGAGCTGAAAGCTGAATATGAGAGGGCCTTGGAATCTAATGGTGATGGTGCTGAAAATGAAGATGTAAGTGGTTTGATTTCCAAAGCTTGTTAGGAAAAGTGCTTATTCTTTAGATGCTTCTCTCTTATTACTCTTGCATTGTTATAATAGTGTCAATTCTTAATTTGGTTTGCTTTTTCAGGGTGAAGAAAATTCAGCTGAGAAGGAAGTTGAGGAGATTGTAGTTGATGATGATGAATAGTGTTCCGCCTTGCAAACTCTGCTATGCCCTTTTGTAGTTTCTCTTACAATAGTTCTGTCTTGTAAATTTTTGTCCCTGTTAGTCAACTGGGTTCAGGTTAGGTATTAAATAGTTCTGAATGGCAGGGTAGTTTCTGTCTTTTTGGCTTCAAATTGTTAGGCTCTATGCACCATTTGGATTCTGCTTATGCTACTATTGGAATCCAGAAATGGCAAATTACTATGCTAATTATATGGAGTTTGTGGTTTTAACATGTTTAAATTGATGCTCGAAGGAGATACATGATTTGAAAATACTGAACTACTAATTACACTTTTTGTTGTTGCTCAAAGTTGGTTGCCCTGTTTTAAGGTTTATTATTGTGGTTAGACAAGATCGTGTGCTAAAAAATTCATAGAAAGCTCAGCATCAGATAAAATAAGAGAAGAACTTTCTTGATTTGAATTAATAGGAGCAAGTACTCAGTTCTTTGAGTAAAGATTCTATCGTGAGATACAGAAGAATGTGTATCTTGACTGGTATTTAAGAAACAACTGAAATTGATTGTTGATGCAAGGCTAACATGGCTTGAGCAATTGTATCATCCTCATTGATCGAGTCAGCATTGTACTGGCCCATCCTTTCCTATCACTTCTTTCCCTTACAAGGTGGCAAGGGCCTGCCACATAAACACAGATTATGGGCATAAGTTACTGGAGGAAAGATGTTAAATGGTCTTCCTTGCGGGATCTCACCACATAATCTGTTGGCCCTGAAGCTTGCGTGTCTCAGAGCTTGAATCTGTAGCAAGCTGTC